CCCGTCTGCCTTGCCAAAACGTGGCACTGAGAGCCGGTATTTGGAGAGCAGAGGATGCTGCTGAAGTGGCATTTAATGACCCAAAGTTGTCCACAATAGTAATTTTAACTTAATTTTGGTGTCATTAAATTACCAGTCAGTTAATGACACTCTCTTTCTATTATGTAGGATCAAATGTGGTTATTCTCAAATGAGCTGGGATGAGATGCACTTATCAAATTTCCTGATCTGATCTGATTGCTTGTTTGTGGTCACATGGTACAAGCTGCACAGTTTGCGACCCAGTCGTGTTGTCAGACGACTTTGGTCTGACAACACTGAACGTTTACGAGAAATATTTTGTTTTTGCACCCTCATAGAGGGTTTCTGCAGAACGTTGAGAAAGATCTAATCAGAGAAAACACGTAGGTGACGCAAGAATGTAATATAAATGTCTCCAGAGAGTGTTCCTAGTTTCAAGAACAGATGACACCCACAAATGGTCGTGTAAGGAGACTGGGATTAATCAGAGGTGGTAAATTCAGTTGCAGGATAGAGTGAAGAAAGATGCCTTCATGATGTTTCAGAGCTCTGAATAAAATCACCCAAATGTGCGGCGTTTGTTTGAAATACTGGAAGCTCACATTATTTAGACAGCAAATTCAAAGCAGCCAATCAAGACAAGGCTTGTTTATAATAATGATGAGTGATTATGAGCAATAACAATGAAGACCATATATGGATCACTTCACAGAAGCAGTGTGTGTGTGGAGGTTGGGTGCCACCATGCTTAGCATCTCCCAGATGTGCAAACCATATGCTCTGACTGAAATTAAAACAAAAAAAGAAACAGTGAAACATGAAAGGAATTTTTAACTTTGTAAAGACAGTTAACAGTCGGTAGAGATAGGCTAATGACCGAGAGAGGCCACATGAAAGAACCGGGGATGTTGGCGGGTTTTTTGCACCACTCATTCCATTTCCTGCTCATAAGTTCACTGAGCAGATGGGGACCAAAGGCACAAGGAAGTTTAGATTTTCTGCCCCACAGCCCATTGTATATGATGCATGTAACTGCGTAACACTGCACTGTTATCATTTACAGACGCTTTGGTGCATACCAGGAGGTCACAATAATAAAGGTGAAAAAAGGGTGGACGCAAAAATGAAACATCTTCCCGTCCTTTAAGTCAAAATAATCTGCTTCATTCCTGTGATTTTGTGTGGAATGCATTTAAGGTTGTCATATTCAAAGCAACTAATAAACTTGTCATTTATCATTATAAGTGTATCAGAGATGAGGCCCAAATTAAAGTAGACTTCTCTTTCTACTACATTTTGAATTGCTTGGTGGTAATTCATGTCTCACATACAGCGCAACTGTCAGTGCTGACACAAAGCAACTTCAAAATGAAAATGTGAAGAGTATCTGTAAAGCTGGTTCATTTCAAAATGAGCATCTGCAAGCAGGCTGCCGGCCCATCCAGAGAAACATTTCTAAAAACATATGCAATAGTGCCCTCTCCTGTTGGTTCAGTATGCTGCAGCAAAAACAGATAAACCAACACCACAGCAGCTTTTTTGAAAAAGTAGAAGAAAAGAAAAAAATAAATTGTAAACAGTCAATTTCCCCTAAGAAACACAAACCATCTGAAAGTCTTTAATTCATCATTGACAATCAGATATTCTGTGTTGAAAATCCAATCTGTATTATGAGCTTCTCTAACACAAAGCTGCTCTAGAAGGTGGCATCAGCTGTAACAATTGCAGGGTCTTCTCTTCGTCAGCTTGTTGTGGTGCTCGGATAGAGACATGTTTATTCAACGCCTGCCTTGTCTGCGTCTGGATAATATCCACCCTCAGGCAACGGCTGGCAGAGGTCGGGCCTTTTTTTTTTTGCTTGTATAATCAACCTTCACAGCGCTGACTGACCACAGCATCACCTTTCAAGACTGCAAACAGACGTGCAGCACGTGGCACCACTGACAATTTAAAAAAACAGAAGTGAATCCAAAAGCCTTCAGGCAAGTGTTGTCACTATGGTGGAACTGTATTTGAAGTTTAGAGTGACTTAGAAAACACAAAACTAAGGAAATTAAATTAGATAAACCATATCAAGTCTTTAATGATGGGTAACATGGATTTGAATTTGACAATGTGAGTCCTTCTCTATTGTTGTGATATGAATTATGCAAAAGTTTGCTAAGCTGACGCCTAAAGTGACACATGCTGGAAAAAGTTGTTTGCTTCCAGAATCGGTACACTGGATAACGTTGTTTCTGTCAGGTTTCTAATCCTCCCAAATCCAGCCCTCTCTGCTTTCGCTACTCTTCATTCCCACTGGTTGTGTTTAATTGTTGGGACTCTTGTTCAAGTTGAACCGTTGTAAGAACAGATGTTTCTGATGGCTCAGCTGTGGCTGGTGACTCAAGGAACTCTAGAGAATCCAAAAAGGTTTTTTTTCAGTGGCATTAATGGAAGCAACGTTGTCTGTGTCTAATACAGAGGACAAATTTCCACTCTGACTCTCACCAGTGTCGAAATTAAAGCTGCGGGCCTCCGTCTGTGTATGAGGTGAATTAGTTGAGGAAAGCTCTGCAGCCATCTCTCCGAATGGAGCCGTCTCATTTAGGTGGTCCAACGGCTGTTCTGTATTTAATCTCTCATGTTTAAAGCTGAGCGTTGACGGGGCTGTGGTGTTTGGAACGGGAGAGGATGTGATGTGTGAACCAGCAGGCCTGGCTGTGGAAGTAAGATTGCATCATTTTAGTAACAGTGAAATTATATCCATGAGCATTACCCGACATTTCTAAAAATGATTTAATAATAATATAATAACAAGGCTTTTTATCTGAAGATTAAGGATTCAGGATTGTTTGCACAATTTTACAAACTTTCTCTATCAACACTTATATAGTCTATCTCAGCCTCCCTGTAGTAACTCCATAAACTAATACATCCCTGTATTGTTATTATTCCACTAACTTGACATGCTAGTTATCCCTCCCACCGCTCAACTAATTGTTTTGTTTACTGTCAATTTCTCTGGATGTTTGAGCTGCAGAATGATATATGTTCAGAGTTTGACACAAGAGGGCTGTTTTCACATTAATCTGTTTCGGGGGAGAGTCTCCGTGTTCACTTTTAATCTGATTTTAACATGTGGATTTACGAGCCATCCCAACTAGTTTGGAAGCCAATCATGATCCAATATGCAACTTACACAAGCGTGGTATAGACATTTTGAAGCCTTCAGTGCACATGCTGAGAGTGGACTTTTTAGGTAAGTAGAGGAGACATCTTGTGTCCTGCAGTTACATTTTTGAAATGAACAATATTTGCATGTTCATTGATTTTCTTTTCATGAGGGAAGGGGATCGATGTACATTTGTAGCAAGTTAGCTGAATTTTCATTCAAATCATTACTCAAATCAGAGGATTTTTTTTAGATGTCCTCAAACATGTCTGGGGGGGATCTTTAACTCTGAATTTGTTTTCCATCAATTACCTCTGCTTTAATTTCTATCTCGCTTTAAATTGTATGAAATGTGCTGCTTAAATAACTAATTGACTGAGCAACAAACAAAAGTAAATGCCTGGTGTGACCACAGTAAAAGCCTTTCAATGGCTAGTGGTCAAAATATCATCAGATAATTAATCACCACTTTAGTTTTACTGTGATCATCAGCGGCACACTCACCTGTGCATGGCAGTGTGTTCTCCATGGTCCAGTGCATTTTGTGATTTGTCTCCTTGAAGGTGAGCACAACATCCACCCTGTAAAATGGCTGCAGGAGTTGTTTCCTGTCTGCGCAGGTCTTTAAAAGAAAGAAACCTGGTTTAGATGTTTTACACTGTAATGAAACCATGATGATTAACTCTGGTTATAACAATTCTAACTGTTGTTTCAGCACTAACCTTGGTCTGGAGTATTTGGGCTGTAGTAATGATCAGTGTCACAAATTCCCTCGTCTCATGCACAGTGAAATGATCTGTCTGGTTCACCGACACATCACTGAGTGTTAGTGCTTCGTTGTCACGACTGCCTCGCTTCGTCAAACCCATACGTCGTTTGAAAATGTGCAGCGCAGTCTCCTCTTGTGTGAATGCAGTGACTGAAATTTACATCAGGGATAAAATGTGCGATTAGTGGTGGAGGTACATTTACTCAAGTACACTTTTGAGGTACTTATACATGATTATTTCCATGATATGCAACTTTATACTTCTACTTCAATACATTTTAGGTATTTTTTACTCCACTGCATTTATTCATATGTTGTTTTAAATGATGAGCACAAGCAGCCTTTCTGGCTTGTGACGCCTTAGAAAAGAGCAGTGTGTAGTTGAGGCCACTCTAAACTTCTCAGATGGTTACATTTAAATACTTGTTTAGGCCCCAACGAGGGGAAATAATCCACCATTTCAAAAGTCCAAAAAGTGAAATAAATTTGTGTGCAGAACTTTGTTTTTCTTCTTTCCATCACTCATCGATCACGTAAGGCCTCCCTCTCTTTTGGGAAACACTGCATTTATACTCAACTTTATAGTTAGAAGTAACACCTGGCAAATGCTTCTTGGAAATGTATATAATGTGTAATGATACAAACACATCAGGGGGCATTTTCTCCAGAAACAGTACTTACCTTACTTTGCATACTTTAACTATATTTTCCTGTGAATACCTCTGTACTTTGAAATATTTGGAGTTTGAATGCAGGATTTTTATTGTGTATATTTAAGGCATTGTAGTGGAAGTTTTACCTAAGTAAAGGATCTGAGTACTAAGTGAGTAGTGACTTGTAAAAACATGTTAAAGTTTGTGATGTGGCAAAAAAGAACAACTTCCAGGTCTGATTCTCTGCTTGCTACCCACCTTTTGGACAAGTAGCTTCCATGCTATAGGCATACTGACCACTGACTAGCTTCAAGGCCAGGAATTCCCCTTCATTTTCCAATATCTGTGTTAATCAAAATGACAGTAACGCAGTGCATTTTAGTTGTAATGTTGCCATTGGTCACTAGGTGGCAGGATGCTGTTTGCATACGCTTACTTCGACAGGGCTCAAGACCTCCCTTCTCCTGCCTTGAACTGTAATGTCTGGTCCGCTCATGTCAACGTTCATCTGGATCAGGCTAGCATCCTCCAGAGCAACAATGAGTTGATCGCTCAGAGACAGCGACCAATGCAACTGAAATGCATGACCACACATGCAAACACAAAAACACAGTCAGACAGATCCCCTCTGCCTGTTTTCTGTCTCTCATGCAAACACATGCATAAGTAATTGTTCACATTTATAATGCAATCATATTTTAAGGGCTGATTTCACGAGGATTGGTTTTAATTACTACCTTGTTGTCCCAGTTGTCATAGAGAACTTGTCTGGTCACCTACAGACACATACAAAGCTTATCAGAATAACAACACAAAATTGGTTAAAATGAAAACAGTGAAAAGTACCATATGAAGAACTCCAATCATCAGATACCTGAATAAACTCTGGGTCACACTGGATTTGTTCTCTGCTTGGCAGTACAGAAACCACGGGACACTTCATCATGAAACTATGAGGTCTTCCCCCGAATCGGTTTATCCTCTTCACCAAATGTAGTGTCAGGACGTGATAGCCATTCTGAAAAATCAATATGCAGCCAGAGAATTATCATAACCAGGCCCATCTGCTAAGGTAACATGTCACAGTTTGTGTATATGCATTCGATATTTCTGAATGTGTCGGACATACCCGTTGCTGGACGAAACATCCAGCGTAACTGACTCTAAAAATAAAGTTCTTGTCCGGGTCTTTGTGCAGTGAGAATCCACAGGCAGACAGCTGGGGGTTTAGGTGATCCAGTGAAGCAAGGTTGACTTACAGAAAGAAAAACTTGAGTCAAAGGCATTTTATCTTAAATCTATGTCAATATTGTTTTCATTGATTGTGTCTTACCTTGGATCTGTAAGGCCCCAGACAGCCAGAGTCCCAACCCTTCAATCCTCACACTGTGTATCCACATCTCCATGTATTCAGAAAAACATTCCACATCTCCTTCTGAAAATGAAAACATTTTCGGAGATGTGGAAAAACCATTCAAAATCACTCTTTATCACAGCAAAAAATATTTACCTGTTAATCTTGTTGTTGGGGTATGAATCCATTCTGTTGTCTGAATGGAAAGCACGCTCCTCATGATAAAACATTGTAAAACACTACAAAAAAAGAAGGTAGAAGTCAACTTACATTTTGAAAATTGTGAATAGTTCCAGTCAATTTGTGTACAACATTAGGCTACTCACATATTTCTAAGTAGGATGCTCAATCTTATCTGATCCATGTCAATTCCACTGATGAAAACTTATGTGGGCAGTCTGAACCGATAGCCTATTTGTAGGTGAGTGGACTGATGTCACTGGGGTATGCGACTCCATACAGGGGAGGGGGAATAAACACAGGTGTGTTTGCTTTAACACTTTAAAGGTAAATGACAAAAAAGTCCCAAAGAATGATCATTGTATCCAGCATGTGTGACAAATGGGTTTAAAGGCAGTTGAAAATCCTCTTTTTTGTCAAGGCTTTAGTCATTGAAGATTTTTTGTTGATGGTCTATTATGAATAAAGCTTGTAAAATCCAGTTTTGTCGTTTTATTTAATCTCAAATATCTCTTAAATAATCGTATGCCACAGTCTCACATACCTTCCCAGCTCTATTGAAATTGTATGTTTAAAATGAGTGAAATTTTAAAACCAAACTCTTATCAATATTTTTTTGTATTAATGCACCAAATTCCATCAAATACACATATTGTATATTTCATAGACCATTTTAGACCATTTTAGACACATCTCCGTACAATTCATGCCGACATGTTTGGGGTTTTACAAACTCAGGGATTATGTGGGTTTGAACAGTGTTTGGCTGCACATAATATTGTAAATGTAAATAATGTAAAAATATGGATTAAACTCATGTATTTCGGTTAAAAAACAATTTCACAATTATCATGGTGGCATGGTATTGACTGCATTTTTTTCAATTTCTCAGTGCGCATGGTGCGCACCTTTTGTTTAGACTCTCGGCGAATTTATATATAAGACTTCAAAGGGTGAACCACGATCTTTAAACCTTTCCCATTGGAAGTTATGAACCACGAAAAGATTGATATAGTTAACCACATAACATGTAAATAAGTCTACAAAAACTGAAATGGCGACTGGTGACCTGGAGTCAAATCATTCACTTAATGTTTCTGAATTTAATTCGTGGAATCCCCCACAAAAACTTAACAGTGTGCCCTCCCAACTGGATGATGTCATCTCTACAAAGTGCGCAGCCATTTTGTTAGCTAGCTTGAGGTTACAGAGGTTAGCCGTGTACTGCTGCATCATATGTGGTCTTTATGGTTTTGTACGTACATCTGAACGAACGAGATTATTTGTCGATGTTGATGTAATCGTACAATTTGCAGCTACACACTCGCAGACAAGTGGAGGACTCGTGTATTTGTTGATAGTGAACAGTGCGCTAAACTGAATGGTCATTCATTTTTCAAGCCATCTTGAGTCTGCTAGCTTGTTAGCTAGCTAGCGTGTTTACGCGTGCTGCGAGCGGAGAAGAAAGCTAGTGAGTGTTTGTTTTTCACATAGTTTGTCTTTCTGCGTTTGACTACCCTTGTATTTCCCCCAGTAAACCGAAGTAACGTTTAGACTCAAGCGAAGATCGACGCTACAAACTCGTGTGCATCATTCCGGTCTTTAACTTTAGCGCCATCAGCTTCTTCTACTCGGACCAGCGAGCGACCATCTAGAGACCATGTCAGAGTTGTACATTCGTGTGGCTGAGGATGAAAACGAAGAGCCGATGGAGATCCCTTCAGAGGACGATGGGACTATTTTGCTGTCGTCGGTAGCGGCACAGTTTCCAGGGGCGTGCGGGCTGCGATACAGAAACCCAGAGTCCCAGTGTATGAGGGGGGTCCGGCTCGTGGAGGGGGTCCTGCATGCTCCCGAGAACGACTGGGGAAACCTGGTCTATGTCGTCAATTACCCTAAAGGTGAGATGTTGGTGGAAATGACGTTCAGAGCCTCTGTAGGGTTTGTTGTATTAGTCTTGGCCTGGTCCCTTAGTTCCAGCTAAGATAAATGTTAATGCTCCGTCTTTGGGACAACAGTTAAGGCCCTCCCCTGTTTGAACCCCCCCTGCTGAAAGCCAGCCCTGTATAATATGGGTTTATGGCCTATTGGTGTGAATGGTATGGATTAAGATGTTCTACAGTCAGAGATGGAGCTAATGATGTTCTCTTACTTCTTTCTGGACGTGTATTGTGTATTGGTCGCTGTGTGTGTTGATGTCACAACCAGACAGTAAAGAGCTCAGCGGGTTTGTATTTTCATCTGTTTATTACTCCATTTGTCTATGAACTGCGGCCTCGAAACAAAACAAAACTCCTTTTCCTGATGTGACTCGTATCTATGTATTCTCCACAGATAACAAAAGAAAGATGGAGGAAATAGATGCTGCTTCAGCTGTGAAAGTGAAAAGGGGCTTTCAGAAGACGTCAGATCTCATTGTCCTCGGGCTGCCGTGGAAAACAAGCGAACAAGACCTGAAAGATTATTTCACTACCTTTGGGGAGGTCATCATGGTGCAGGTAGGGACATCTCGTCTCGTTCTGAACATTTTTGTGTTAGGCTGAGGGTGTGATATGGATATCTTATTATTCTGATTTGTTTACAATTTGTAATGAAGCTGTGCGTGTCCTCTGTTCACTCCAGGTCAAGAGAGATTTAAAGACTGGCAACTCCAAAGGGTTTGGGTTTGTCCGGTTCACTGAATATGAGACACAAACCAAAGTGATTGCTCAGAGACACATGATTGATGGACGATGGTGTGACTGCAAACTTCCCAACTCAAAGGTATTTTGGGTACTGTTGTAGTGCGAGTGTAGTCGTGAACCTCGTGGTATAAATATATTCAGATTGTCTTTGGGTCAAGGGTCAGTTGATTAGATATTGGTGATCATCGTCTAGATTTCTGCTTTTAGGTATTAAAGCTGTTAAAAGAGCTGTATTAAACATTCAGAGCTTTAATGACCTGCTGCGCTGCTCTCATATGGCGGTATACAGCTGATAATGCTGTCCCGACCAACAGCGTTGGTCCCAGAAGTGTAGCACCCACCTTCCAGTTCCACCTCAGGTAAACTCTGTCAGCACTTTAACCGTAGTTTGCACTGTTGACACCGTTAGCTGTGAGCCGTCAACGCGTTGAGAGGCAATCGAAATGCTCCCAACCTCAGATCTTGCCCTTTTTTAATGAGGAGTTAATTGTCTTGTTGAGAAAGTCATAACTTAGTTTTATGGGTGAATGCTAAACTGTTTTCCAATTACAAATTATGTCAAACCTGGAAAACAAACTGCAGCAGTTTTTGCCGTCTTATCTCCTAGCTTCACTTCGAACATTTTAAATTAAACATTCACTGAATTGCAGTGGATCAAAACATCTGTTTTAGTTTTGCAATTTAAATGCATCTCACAAATGAAATGTTTGGAAAATCATTCTGAGTTGGTCAGAAGTATTACTTTAAAAAGATGACGACCATATATTTCTTAATTTATTGCTGTGCCCCTTTGTCCTCTCAGGCGTGTCCTGATGAGCCCATGCGGAGCCGTAAAATCTTTGTTGGCCGCTGTACGGAGGACATGACAACCGATGAGCTGAGGCAGTACTTCATGCAGTATGGCGAAGTCACCGACGTCTTCATCCCCAAACCTTTCCGGGCTTTTGCTTTTGTCACGTTTGCCGATGACCAGGTGAGATTCGCCATAAACGACCGAGTTGGATTATAAGTTGCTGGTCTAATGAAGACTACTGACTATCTTCTCCTCACCTCTTTCTCAGGTTGCCCAAGCCCTGTGTGGAGAGGACTTGATCATCAAGGGCATCAGCGTGCACATCTCCAACGCTGAGCCCAAACACAATAATAGTAGGCAAATGATGGATCGAGGGCGGTTTGGGGCTGGTGGGTTCAGTCAGGGCTATGGCAGTAATCGCGGTGGGCTAGGCAGCGGTAGTAGCGGGGTTAACTTCGGGGCTCTCGGTCTAAACCCAGCAATGGTGGCTGCTGCCCAGGCAGCGCTGCAGAGCAGTTGGGGAATGATGGGCATGCTGGCTAACCAGCAGGGTCTGACCACAACGGCAGGCACAGCCCCTACAACCCGAGACCAGACCTATAGCTCCTCCAGCACCAGTTACAGCAGCCCCAACTCAGCCAGCCTCGGTTGGGCTGCAGGCACCAACACGCCCTCCAGCAGTGGCTTCAGCTCTGGCTTTGGCACCTCTATGGAGTCCAAGTCTTCTAGTTGGGGAGTGTAGATAGCTTAGAGTTGCCCTTTTCATTTGCTATTAGGCTAATCTGGTAAGTATACATACAGTTGGGAACTGCTTATATCTTATGTTCCTATTAAAAATATACTGCCTTTTTATTTTGTTAAAGAGAAGATTTATACTTGCGTGCGACTGAATATGTCTTTCATTGAATGGGTGAAAAGTTTAGTTTGTTAGTGGAAACTGCCACACTCCATTTAGTTTTGTTTTTAAATGTTAAAACAGAGATGACTGCATGCAAGATAAATATTTATAAACATGCACGAGTATCTTGAGAGCCCCATCGTCCCCTTGTAAAATGAGCTTGGTATAATTATATATCTGTATGCAGTTCATTGCATCTTTTTGTTTTGACGTCATTTGGAAACGCCTTCATGAAAATCTCTTCTGCAGTTCACCAACTCTTTCCCAATTTCCCGGGAGGAAGCGCCTCATTGGCTGCAATGTTCGACCGATCTCAGTATCAATTCCCCTCTTCCCATGTGTAAATGCTTTGCCATCAAAGAACACAGCTTCACTCTGCATATACTGTGTTCGACGGTGGGTGTTGTCTTTTTTTCCTCTCCCCTTTTTAAAGGATATAGAAATCTTGTCTGCTCTTGTCGCTTTTCAAGATCAATGAGTGGGATTGATGTTGGACCGAGTGAGAGTGAGCGAACGGGAGAGCAAATTGAAAGAAGTGTGAGAAGGACTGTTTGTACGAAATGTTTTTTTTTTTTTTTTTTTTTTTTTTTTTTTTTTTTTTTTTTTTTTTTAAAGAGACAAATGCCTGCGAGAGTTGAGAAGAACCTGTGGCTTTGTGAGTGTGAGAGGAAGAAGCAAGTACGAGTGTGTCCCAAATGGCCATCACAAGGACATTTACTGCATCTCGAGATCCCTATGGTCTCTGCTTTTTGTCATCATTTTCTATCAACCTTAATTCTTAAAAAAAACAGTGAAATGTCAAGTGCGTAATGAGTATTTGTACCTTTTCGTAGCTTTCTCTTGCCGTCTGATTTATTGTGAATGCTGTGTCTGGTTGTGTGCTTTATTTTCTCCTTGTTACCACCCTCTTTGTGTGAAAATGAGACTTTGTGCTGGTGAAGTCTGTGTGGGAAAACACTGAAAGTGTGTTTAAGTTTGAGGTTGGTGTGGTGAATGTTTGACAAGTTCCCATTGAAAGTTTGTGTTTGAAGTGGTTACGAATGCTTTTTCTATGTTTTGTGAATCAAAGGGAAGTCTGAAATAAAACTGAATTTGACTAGTTATAATACACTCTTGACAATGACTTATTTTTGACTTCACATTAATTGAAATGCCAACACTTTAATTCACATGTATAGGGACCGCGGACATGGACAGCCCAGGTTTTCGTCAGAATCCAGGTTGGAGTCAATTATGGAGAAGCTGAAGACATTGTTGGGTGGGCCGGCACAAACCAAAACCAACAATGGAATTGCTGCACGACTGCCTTAATCCTGAAAAGGATCTTCTTCACTTCACTAGCAAGAAACCTCGGACCATCCCGTAATCAAATTTAGAGCGGACCATACTCAATTGGGCTGAGGTATTTGGTCATACCTACAAATGTCACAAATAGGACCAAAGTCGCACCTACCGTTTGGCAGCAGTCATTCTTATTTTTTTTTTCCAAACTTGTGAAACACGAAGTCTGCCTTTCAATCTGAAACATGCATTTCTGTCAATGAATGCTTTTATTATTTGTCCTCGTAACAGTCATTGTTAACTTATGGAAGTATTATCTGGTAGGTTTCTTTTCAATGTGATCAAAAAGCTTTTCAACAAGGCAAGATGTTTTTGTTATTTTGTTTATCCTGATTGTAAAATGGATGGAATGTATCAAGAGATTTTGAAAAGGGACATAAACAACTGATTGAACATGCCAGCAGGAATTTTCACTTCTGTATTGAGATATTTTAGTATTGCGGTGTAAAATAAACAGGTTTTTGAGTTTTTAATCACCTGTCGTCTCTCAATCTAGATTGATATAAGTATTTTTCTTACAGGGCTCCACCGCAAACTCTTATTTTTACAGTTATCCATGACTTCAATTAATTGATTTCTTCAGGTTTTTTGTGGAAGTTCCGATTCGGGCCTTGGCAAAAAATATACTGAAACGTATACTGCACTATCTAGTTTTGATGCTGGCTGTTAAGTGTGTGTGTGTATGTATATATATATGTGTGTATGTATATATATATATGTGTGTATGTATATATATATATGTGTGTATATATATATATATATGTGTGTATATATATATATATATGTGTGTATATATATATATGTGTATATGTATATATAGATATATATAGTGGTGATGTGCCCTTTAGTAATGGCTTGAGGGACAAGACTCCCAAGTTATAGAAAATATAAGTCATAGGATAGTCTGACATCAAAAGTAATTGTAAAAAAAAAAAAAAAAAGCAGTCATAGTATAGCATGTCGAAAAAAGTCATGAAAAAGTCATAGTATAGCATGTCGAAAATAGGAAAAAAATTCATAGTATAGCATGTCGACAAAAGTCATAGTATAGCATGTCGAAAAAAAGTCATAGTATAGCATGT